CACAACCACCCACCACCATACCAGCAAGTCTGTCTACAACAGCAGCCTCAGCAGTCTGAGGAAGCTTCCTAAGAGGCAGGAGTATTTCAAGATGGCTGACTCTCAACACCAAAGAGTATCTGAGGACATGGCCAGTGTTCCATTCCCAGGGGAAGAACCTTTGAACTCTGAAAACATCTACTTGCTTTCAGTTTTGAAAGCACTCACACAGAGATAGGGTGTTTCAGACTGCAGACAGAGAGGGGTCAGGTACACAAGCTTTGGGGGAAAGGCTACAGGCGCCAGTGTTAGTTCAGAGAAAGGAACACTTGGGGCCTCGCAGGGTCACATGGAAGCTACCAAGTTTGGAAAGAAGACTGGAGACATAACTGGTTTGTATGGCCAAGGATCAATTATTTATTGAGCCCTTACACAAACAAGATACAGAGCCTAGTGCTCCCCATGTTTTATCCCTTTTCAACATCCCAACAACTCTTTGAGTAGGACTATTTCGTGGTTTGCACACAAAGAGGAAAGTGAGGTTTTAGAGAGAATTAAGTAACTTGTTTCAAGTAGGTCACACAGCTGGTAAATGTGGGCTCAGGATTTGAACTCAAGCATCTTGCAGTTGACCGTCCCTACTGCATACTACCTGGACCCTCTCCCAGGTCTCCCTAGGGCCCAGGACGAAGTCCCTTTCACTTAGAATTGAATCCAGTTTTCAACCCTGCCTCCTGCATGACCTCTGTGTCTTCAAGGGGTCTGAGTCCCCAGAGACTTGTACTTGAACCCCAGCCCAAAGACTGAGCCCTGCTTTCATACTCTGACTGGGCTTTGAACTTTGTCCTCCCTAGATACTAGGAAAGGCCTGTCCCCAAGTGTCTCTTTGGGGCTCTGACCACCTGCTAGACACCTCTGCCTTCCCCCTTCACCCTTAGGGACAGTACTGGGGCTTCATGACCCCCCTCCCCCATCCTTCACCTTATTTGGCCCCTTCCAGCCCTGGCAACTGCATCTGTGTCCCCAGCCCTTGTCCCTAGGGCACAGTCTCAATGGCTTTTCTCCTGACATGCCTACTGAAAAAAAACCACAGAGCCTGGCTGAGCTTGAGAGTTGTAGTTGATTTTTTTTTTAAGCTTGTAGCTCTTGAGACCTTCCTATGTGCCAGGCCCTTGATTAATCAGATAAAGTGAATTCCCTCATGCAACCCTCCAGCAGCCCTGGGAGTAGCAAAGAGAAGCTGTGGTTATTGTTATCAACATGCTGGTCTAGTCCCACACTAGAGGCTCTGCTGATGGTTCTCAGAGCCCTGAGGCCCCAGAATCAAGAAGCCTCTCCCTGGCCAGGAGCCTCATCCCACTTTCTGTCTCCCAGGCTTGGGGCTCACTGCCCCTCATGTCAAAGGTCCAGATGCAGATGTTGTTTGGGTACCACAGCAGAAAAATCATGTCCCCTGCCCTCTCCCCTCCTCCATGGCTCTAGGTCCTGGCCCTTTCCCAAATCTCTGTTCTTCACAGTGGCTCTTGGAGTCCCTCCATGTCTGTCTGTTCTGGGCCCTGCTGGCCAAGACCAGGGCAGTTCAGTGGGTTTCCACCACCACCATCCTGGAGCCAGACCACTCAGTTGTCTGTGGCTGAAGACACTTCTAAGAGCTCTGTGTGGGGAGCACTGACAGTCCCCTGACCAGGGACCATGCAGGCAAACCAGTCTTCTGTGAGGGCTGCACTCCACACTCTTGCATGTTATAGCAGCTACTGTGCCACCAAAAAGCAGAAACCAATCTGTGCTTTTGAAGAGAGGAATTGAATATAAGGAGTGGGTTAAACAAGTGAAGGAAGATCTGAGAAGCATCCCAGAGATTATCAACCACAAAAAGACATTACAATCCCTAGGCTGGAGGGATAGAGGGCCCAGGCACTGTTATTGGGGTCCAGCACCTAGGGCCACCAAACAGACTCTGAAAGTATACCCATGTCTGTCCAGCAGGACCAGGGACCATACAGGAGGGGCATCCAGGGGAGCTGGGACCACAGAGGAGACTTGGTGCTGGCAGAGATGCTGCTTGAGGCAAACAGAGGAAGAACTGTCTTTGCTTCTCCCATGGCCAGTGTTTACCATGGATCCAACCTACCAGCCACTAGAGGCCAAAGGAGCTTTGGAAATACTGTTCCCTGCAGTACAGAGCAGAGTAAAATGGCAGTAATGTGAGAGAGGAAGCAAAATCCCTCCTCCAAAGAAGGAGCTGCCCAGGACATGTGGCTGCCACTCCTGTGCCTCCTTTGGCCTAGCCTGCCCAGGGCTCAGGGCTGCTCATACTCACAGCCACTGTACAGACCTCAGCTTCCACTCATAGGCCCCAAGAGTGCCCAGATCCCTGATGGCAGGCACAGAAGACAAGGGGCTCCCACACCGGGAAGTGGCCAGGCCTTGTGCCCACATACAGGGAGGCACACAGGCCCTGAATCTCTTTCGTATCTCTTCTGAAGTCCCCATAATAATGATAACTATGTTCACTGAGCACTAATGAGCCAGGTGCTGGGCTAAGTGATTTACATCACTATCTAACTTATTCTTCTAAAGGATCTTGGGAGACAGGCACTATGGGGGCCACACTGGAGGGTGAGAAAATTCAATCCACAATGGAATAGAAATTTGAAGTGACATAACAGGAACAGTAACATAAAAAGAAACAATGATGCCCAGAGATCTAAGGAAGAGCCATTAATGCCTGATAAAGTAATGAGTAAAGCGAGGACACATGAAGGCATTGCTCAGGAAAGATAAAGAAACTAATTCTTCAGAGCTTCTCACCAAGGACAGTCAACCCACACTGACGCAAAGAGGGGGCCTGTTGTAGATCATACAATTTCCACACAGATTTCATAAAACAAAACAAAACAAATGTCCTGGTTTCTGGCTTCTCTTGAAAAATCAGAATGTCTGATTTGCCACTGGGTCCGCATTCAGACATGGCGGCAGCCGGGCCAGGAAGCTGCAGTTCCTTAGGTCAGGGGAGGCAGGCCCGGGACCAGCACAGTCCCCACAGCTTCCCAACTGCTCCCACTTGGCCTTTCTCTCTCAAGGGCTTTTCAGTTTGACCCCAGAGGATCTTTCCAGTCCTCGCTCAGCTGGCTGAAGAGCCCTGCTGCCACCTGCTGGTCGCAGATCACATGTCCCATTGACGTACATAATGATGCTCCTGGTAATCTACAACCATTTTCACTGATTGTCTCACTTAATCCTTAACAGCCCTGTGGGAAAAGGAATTGTTGTACCCATTTTACAAATGAGAAAACAGGAAAGGTCAGTTCAGAAATTACCAGTAAGAAAACAGATGACTCTGGGAGGCTGAAGAAAGAGGATCGAAAGTTGAAGCCCAGCCCTAGCAACTTTAGTGACTTGGCAAAACTGTTTCAGATTCTAAAAAGAACAAAATTTTTTTAAAGAGCTGAGGATATAGCTCAGTGCAAATGCCCTGGTTCAACCTCCAGTATAGAAAGAAAAGAAAAAGACAAATGAACAAAGATAAGTGAATAGATTGTTCACGATCCCACTGCCCACGATATTGCCCATGAAATCCAGCTCCTTCCTTCCTCCTAGTCTAGAGTACCTTCAGCTCTGTTTTGCTACAACAGTTCCTAAGGCGACACTTCCATGTCAGAAGTTAGGTCCTGGTGGTGAGAGCCAAGGGTCCCTTAAGATGAGCCAGAACTCTGCAGTGAGTACTTTTGGGGCCCAGTAAGGTGAGGACAGGCAGCCTGAAGGCCACATAGGGAAGCCATGATAAGAGCATCTGCTACTTGTGGTCAGGCAGGTGTTGGACCCAGGTTTTCTAAGACCAGTACTGGGTGTTTTTTATACCACGGTACTCCCCAGGCATGAGAAGCCTCCTCTCATTTTTGCTCCCCCATCCTCTCTATCCCACAAGGCCCCACACTAGCCCTGCCTCCTCCAAGAAGCCTCTGTGACCACCTCAGCCCTCCCAAATCTCCCCCAGTCTGAGCCCCTTCGAGGCTCCAAAGCCCCCTTCTGGTGCTGATGGCATCGTGCCCACAGGGCCAGAAAATTGCTTGAAGCTTGCACATTCCCAGCCAGCCTGGAGATTGCATGGAGGACAGGCTTTGGCATCCCCATCTCTTGTGATGTTTATCTGAGAAATACGTATTAAACATCTATTATTTGCAGCACCTGACAGAGGCTTAGGGAGATTCTGAGATGAATTAGAGCTTCCTGTCCTCCTGGAGTGTGCAGTTGCCTATTGCCACATCAGGCCCACAGCCAGAGCCTGATGCTCTTATACAACGCAGAGCTTATCACTCCTCTGCTTCCCACCCTTTAGTGGCTCCCCACTGCCCTCAGAATAAAAGCCAGAGCTTTTTATCACTGACCTTGCTAACTCACCTCCCCCTGCCCCCACCAACACCCCTGTATATGCCCTGGGTTCCAGCTCTACAGCCTCTCAGTTCTCTGACATGCCACCCTTGTTGTCACCTCTGGCCTTTGCATGTGCCACCCGATCACCTTCACTTAATTCCAGGTGCCCCTTGGCCTTCAGCTGGGTATCACTTCTTCTCAGAAGCCTTCCCTGGCCACCAGGTCTGTGTTGAAGTCTGTCCCTTTCCTGGGATCTTGTTACTGCCTTATTCTAACCCTAACAATCATGGAACTACTGCCAACTTCTCCATCTCCCATTCCCAGCCATGGGCCCTGGAAGCTCAGGCCCCATCTCTTTGACTCTTCCTTGTATCCCCAGCATCTAAATTCAATTATTGGAGGCAACAATGGTGAGCAGTAGACAATTAAGTGAACAGATGAATGAGCAAGGTGCCACTTTTTTTTTTTTTTTGGTACCGGGGATCGAACTCGGAACCTTGTGCTTGCAAGGCAGGTGGCAGAACCACTGAGCTAAATCCCCGGCCCTTGGTGCCACTTTTATATACAGCAATTGTTCAGGGAATGAATGGTATGTGGGACATCTAACTGCCCAAAAGTTAAAGTCAGACAAATTCCAGAGACACTGCTATCTTTGAAGTCCTTTATTGCCAGAAATTCACATCAGTTACTCAAGAAGCTAGTGCTCATGATATCAACCAATTCATTCATCTTTCCCCAGGCACTGAAATCATGCTCTTGCATCCAAAACTGTGTTGCAGCCCAGAGGGTTAAAGATATCTCACTCTTCCACGGAGGGCAGGAATGCCCCTGTGACCCAGTCTTCCCCTCCTGGAAGTCTTGTTCAGCTCTTAGGCAAGCATCTCAGCTGTTTTGCCCATGATAGCCCAACAGGGAAATAAATGAGGTATAGTACAATGGTTCTAGGTATCTGGGGGTAAAAAGGCACATTACACAGAGTCCCCTGGAGAAAATGCAGGCCGTTCTCCATTTTCCCAATACACATTTTCTCACTCTCCACTGACTTTTAATCTCATTGCCTGGGCTATGAGAAACCATAACCCACATGCTACTGAATACATTTTTATTTTCCTTTCATGAGATATCCTTGGTTCCACACAGATTTCATTTTTCTCCCTTATGCCTACGAGAACATCCAATTTTGTTCAAGTCCCTTTTAATGGCACTTAATAAATATACATTCTGGGACTGGACAGAACAGGCTGTCCTATTTCAAACTGCCTCGAATGCTGCCTGTTTAAATAGCCTGTACAAAGCTCAGCTGGGGCACATCTTAGTTCACCTCTTCCTGTCTCTGATTCCTTGTCTGGTCTGTCTGTCCACCATGCATGTCTGGGGCAGAGGTCCTCAGCCTGACCGCATGTTAGACACACCTGGGGAGCTTCCTGAAGACCAAAGCCCAGGCCACCCCAGGTCACCCCACCAGCCTCTCTGGGTGGGCTTCTGGCTTGCTTCACAGTTTAAAGCTTCCCAGGTAAATGCAGTGAGCAGCCATGCTGAGAAGCCCTGAACCAGTGTATCAGCACACAGTGAGTGGGCTCCCAGTAAGAATCTGTATTACTCACAAATGGTCATCATACTTTATAATGTATTATCCTCTGATCCCTATTTTTATCAGAAATCTGAGCAGGAAAGAAAAGGAAAATGCATCAAGAGCAGCTTGTGAAGTGAATTTAGGGCTGGGAAAGGGATTTCGGGGCCTGAGTTTCTCTAGCTTTATGCAGTCTTCACGTTTTAACAAGCCCAGGGGAGGCACATTACAGACTGTCTGACACAGACAAGTGTGTATTTCTCAAGAGCCCTTCAGACACCAGAGCTAACAGCGTTAGGCACTCCAGTGATAACACAGAGACATGCTTGGAAATAAATCTAAATTGCCACTCATTCCACACACACATTCTCACAAGGGCTGGTTCCAAACTTGTAAAAACTGCGTAAAGCTCCTGGTGTATCACTTTTTCCCCTTTCTGAGAGGTCTGCAATGTGCCTCGGCCCAACACTGCCCCAGTGGCCAGTCTTCCTGGGACAGGACATGTTTGTGAGGGAACTCGGGTTCCAGGTTTGAGAAAGGGGTGACTCACTCAGAGTTCAAGAGATTGGCCAGCTCAGATGTAGTACAGTCACATTATGGACAGCACGTCCATCAGACGTCCATAACATTATATCACCTCATGGTATCACAGTCTTGCTAGCTTGTAGCCATACGCTCTGTTACAGTCCCATGACACAGTCTCTTAACAAGCGCATCTGAGAACGCATCCTTGTCAATCCATGACAAACACATTGAGAAGGAACCTGGGTAGAGCCTGGGTTTGAGGAAAACGACACTGTGTTAACAGACTACGTTTCCTGCCATGGGTTTGGGTGTGAGGGGTGGCAGCATGACAGCTTCCATCTGCCAGTCCAGGCCAGCTGATGGCCAAGGCCATCCTGACACCACAGATGGCACTGACCCTGGTGTCACATTTCATGGTTTCCAAGGAGACTCTGCACCCTTCCCTTCATGCCAATCTCACACAACCTGGATGGGAGAACTGGAGTAACATCCTATGTCTACAGCCACAGCCAACTGACCTCGGCCTTCTGCTGCCTTCAGGCCCTGAGAGGCAACCTGAAACCATGGGTTTCCCCAGGCCTTTTACCCAGAAAGAAGAAACCATGCTATTACCTTACCTCCCCACCCACCAGCTTGCAGTCACCTTCCTCAGAGTTTCTGCACTGATTTGCATGTTCCTACTCCAGGGAGAATGGCAGCATGCTACAACTGCTGCTGGCAGTATTATACACCTTACCTGACATGCCATCAAAATCCCCTGAGCCTAGAATCACCTGGGAATTTGCCTACACATTCCAGAGCTGTGACTGGGTCACACCCACTCCCAGACCCAGGCAAGAGTCTCCTGGGAACCTCTCCACTGCCTCTGAGAGGGCTCTCTGGGGTTCACTGTCCAAGATAACTCAGCTCCCAGCACAGAAAAACAAAAGCTGACCAGTCAGCCTTGGTGTTTCCAGATTCTACACAGACTCTGCACTGTAGTAAGGCCAGGCAGTCCTGCACTTTTCCAGCCCACTCCCTACAACCATACAGTATACAGGGGACACTCATCTGACCGACCCCTTCTCATGGCCAGGCCCAGATAGAGCCACACGTAAGATTGGTTACAAGCTATGGCAAGTCCTAGCCAATCAGCTGTGACCCTAGGTTGCAAAGGCTTCTTTATGCAGACAGTGAATGATCAGGGCCACCCACGCTCTGGCACCTCTTCCATTGAACTTCCAGGTGCCTGATCTTTCTGCTCCTGTACTTTCTTTGTTTGATTTCCCAACAGGAACAGAGCCTCTAAGCCCCTCCCATGCTTTGGCAATGTGGGCTCCAGGGAGGGCACCCTAAGAGGGCAGAGTCCAGCCCCATGGGGCAGGGCTTGGGGCCCTGGCCAGGAAGCCAGAAGGCACATATCCCCTCTGTCCGTTCACTTCCACCAGGCTCCACTCTGGGTTCCCCTTCTTGTCGTGGGCCTCCAGGATGGTCACAGGCTGGCCTGCCTGTAGGCTCACTTCATGTGTGCTCCTGGCCATAAAGGGGTACGCTGCTACCACCTGCAACACAAGGCCAGGGAAGCAGAAATGGTCAATCACACCAGGCTGCTGATCCAGCTCTCATCCCACTTGACTCAGTACCCAGTGCTGGGCATTCCCTACCTCCCGAGTTCATCCTTTCCACTAACATCTGCTAGTGCCATAGCAAGTTATTACTGTGTGGCTGGCAGTCTTCCTGCACTTTTCTGGGTGTTGGTTTTCACAACAATCCTTACCATCCTACCATTTTGTCAATAAGGAAACTGAGACTCAGAAAAGTCCAGGAACTTGCTCAAAATAACATAGCTGTGAAGACAGACCTGCCTGACCTCAGAACAGGCGTTCCCCACCCACCATGGCCACATGGCTGAGCAGACTCAGCAGCCTGTCCCTCCCCAGATGTAAAAGTTTCATCAGTTCAGGCCAGTTTCCCAGCCTGGAGTAGAACTAGGTATTTGGACAACTTGGATACTTTTTAGGGAGAAGCACCGAACTAGAATGGAGGGGAGGGCATTTATTAAGCTATTATTGAACCTCTTTGGGCCTCAGTTACATCACCTGCAAAACGAGAATAATGATATTCTACCTTGTAGGTCACTGGGGAAATTGAATGAATGAATGAATGCATGCATATACGGGGCTTCACAGAGTGCCTGACACACAGTAATGGCCTAATAAATGGAGGCTACTTTAACTCTGTTTATCATTACTGTCATTTCAGGTGGTGAAGCCTCAGGAACAATAGCTGGAGGATCCCAAGAACAGATAACCATTGCTGTGTTTATGTAGACCAACCACTGAGCCTGCCCACGTTAACCATCCAGAGGAAGAGCTGGGGGGGCATTGGCAACCTCAGGGTCTTCCCCACTGGGGCGGGGCCACAGCTGAGTTGAATGATGACTCTGGAGTCCTGTGCAGCCCCTGGTGCGCACTTCTGGCTGAAGCCTGAGGCTCTTTGCCCTGATGCCCTCCCAGTGAGTGTATCTTCCACAGGTGCCTACACAGCCTGCATCCCCTGGCCCATGGCATCCCGTGGCCTGTCCTCGGGGCCTCTGGGCTGCTGCCTCTCCCCATCCCATTCTGAGCCTTTCTGTTGTTCATCCCACATCTGTGAGGCACCCCCTGTCTGCTGACAATGGAAGTGCGGCCTCATTCAGGGGGGGTCCCTGTACGCCTGCCTGGTTTTACCAGCTCTTCCCATCGTAGCAACGGCCCCGCCGAGCTACTTCCACCCTACAGGACTCTTCCCTCCAAAGTCAAAGCCTGCAGGGGCTTCCCATCTTCTCTCTCTCTGGATGTAACTCATATAATATACTCTAACATTTTTAATATATTCACTGATGTGTGTAACTTCTATCTAATTTCAGAACATTTTCATCACCCCAAGAAAAAAACCCATACCAAATAACAGTCATTCCTTGTTCCCTTCCCCTCAGCCTCTAATCTACTTCATCTTTCTGTGGCTGTGCCTATTCTGGACATTTGTGTAAATGGAATCCTATGATTTTCCTGCCTTTCGTGCCTTTTTTTTTGAGACAGGGTCTCACCATGTAGTTGGCCTGGAACTCATGATGATCTGCCTGCCTCACCCTCTCAAGTGCTGCGATTACAGGCATGCTCCACTACACCCAGTAATGCCTGACTTCTTTCACTTAGCATTATGTGCTCAAGGTTCATCCATGCTGTAGCATGTATCAGTGCTTCATTCTTCCGATTATGACTGAATAATATTCTATCATGTGCATATTATGTTTTGTTTATCCATTCCTATTGATGCATGCTTGGGTTGTTTCTGTTTCTCTTGAATAATGCTGCCACGAGCATGCATCTACATGTTTCTCACTGCTTTTAAGAGAAAGACTGACACCCTTTCAAGGCCACAGGGCCATGCTGGCCTGTCCCTGCCCACCTCATCTGCAGCACTTCGCTCCACCCTGCCCCTCTGCCTTCCCCCAGCCACTGGCTTCATTCTTTGTGTGTTGGTTTTTTTTGGTACTGGGGATCAAACTTGGGACCTTGCGCTTGCAAGGCAGGTGCCAGAACCACTGAGCTAAATCCCCGGCCCTTCATTCTGTTCCATATGCATCCATGCCTGTCCTCTCTGCATGTACTATACATGCTTCCTGGAGAGCTCCTTCCACCTGTACCAAGGTATATCCCCTACTTACCTTTTCTGTCTAAGAAAAAGCATCACTCTTCCCAGACAAACCTCTCTACACCTCAGGCTCTGGCACTTATCTTCCCTAATAGCTACAGATGTTCATGCAATTACTTTACTAATCACTGCTTTCCCCCAGATTATTAGTGTGAGGAGGGCAAGGGCTACGACTTACTTTTATTCATCATCACATCTTTCATCTGGTGTCACACTCGGCAACTATTAGTGCATGAATGCATGAATGAATGAATGAAGGAAGGAAGGAAGGAAGGAAGGAAGGAATTCTGCTTGCCCTATGATGGGCACAAGGGGCTAGCACTCTGTTAACAAAGTGTCAGAGGCAGAGGACCCCCTCTCCAGGTCCCACCCTTGGCCAAGATATAGATGCTGTCACTGATCAAGACCCTGGAAGGGTTTTGCCACCTTGGAAGGTGGCAACCCCTCCAGATATGTGGAGTGTGGACTTGGACAAAGATGAAACTCAGTCGCAGTCTGGGTGGCTAAGGGAGACAAGGGCCCAGCCCTCTCCCAGACTCACCTGGGTCACAGTTGGGGTGGAGGGCACCAGGGCGGGGGCAGGCGCTGGTGCTAGATGGTGGGAATCCTGCTGCACCCCCGCCTGTCCTCTGTGCTCCTCACTGGGAATGACTCGATACAACTGCAGTTTCCCAGCCGGCACATAGCCCCGATGTCCTAGGGAATGAGCAAAGGGTTGTCTGGTTGCGAGACACCTTCCCATCCCTTTCAGTGATGGGGGAAATCTGGCAGTGAATGCCTCCCATCCCAAGGCTCTGTACTTATGAGGGCCCAACAGCCCTCTCCCTGTCCGAGTGCACTGCTCCTAGCTTCTGTTTGTTTACCTCCAGCAACAGAGGGCTCATTTCCTACTGTGGCAATGCACTCCATTTTAAACAGCTCTAAAACACATAAAAATGAGTAGAAAATCTGTTTTCCATGTGCTGGCATCACTGCCCTTGTCCCTGTGGTGGCCACTCAGAGCAAAGCAAAGTCCCCTTCCCAGAAAGACCTTTCCCCACAGGCAGAGATTGTCACGCTCCTCTCTAGGTGTCCCTGTTCTTCTCACACATCAGCTACTCCAGCACTGTTCTGACCGTTGCCACTACAAATAGCCATCATTTCCTGCGGGCTTGCTAGGTGCCAGACCCATGCGATGCTGCAGTCTTTACAATTCCCGAGGTTGGCTGGCATTAGGGCAAGCCTTAGGTGGAGCCAGCAGAGCTCAGAGAAGTTCAATGACTTCCCAAAGTCACAGTTGGGAAAGTGGCCAAGCTGGGAACCAAACCCAGTCTTCAGGGTCCCAGGAGCCTCCTTGCTTTAATACTCCTTCCACTATTTCCCCACTTAAGTCATCAGAGTGCTCTTTTATGATTTCTGCCTGTTTGTATCACTTTCTTAATTTTTTAAATTGACTGACTTTTAAAAACTTTGCCTTGCACTATATAATAATATGAATACAATCATGGGTTTATGGTCTAGTTATCTTTTCTAATACATTTTTAAATAATTTGGAATGATAATGAACCATTTGAAGGAGAAAATAACTGCCTGTAGGTCCCCTAACAATAATTCTGTGCACCCCTCAACTTGCGAGCCGCATGCCTGTCTCTGGAACAGGCTACTAGGCCATTTCATCACCCCACATTCATGGTGCCACTTGCCTTTAGCTTGGTTACACAGGCACCAAGACCTGAGCAGCAACCTCAAGGCCCAAGGCCATGACCAGTAGTGGGGACGCACCCCTCACTGCCTTCATTTGGGACATCAGATTTCCCTTGGCTTGGCTGGGACCAAGTGTCCCTTCTCTGTGCATGTCTCCATCTTTCAGGGTGCCACAGAAGTTCTCTCCATATATCTGTCCACCCCAGTAGCCCATGAGGTCCCCAAAGCAGAGATCTGTCTTATTTGCAGAGCAATGGAAGAATGAATTCCTCTTTGCAGCATCTTTGTGTCACTGGGTCACACTAAGCTTCCTGGGCCTGACTCCTGCAGCTGTCACCTGTGGTCGTTCCCACCCAGATTTTCACAGTCAGACTTGGCCCGCAAGCGTCCCGTGTCTCCCCACCAGCTTCAGTTACAGTGGTTTTCCCAGGAGAGGAAGGGCCCCCAAAGGTCCACACACCTCCAGTGTCCACCAGCCAGCGGCTACTGTGGCCTTTGGTGTCCTTGTTTTGAAGGAGGGCCACGATCTGGCCCCGTGACAGTGTCAGGTCCAGAGTCCCTGCCCCACTGATGTTGCTCGTCGTTTGGTAAAGCTTCCCAGGACCATACTTGCTCAGAAGAGCCTGCACCTGGCTTTCAGAGCCTGGAAGGAGTGGCTGGGGAAAGGAGGGACAGAGACAGACACAGAAGCTTGAGTTAAGAGCCAAGGCTGGGGCCGACATGTGCTAAGAGTCAGAAGTCCCAGTCTGACCCCACCTCTGCTACTACAGGGCCCCTCTTGACTGGGGCAGTCATGCCCTACAGGACATCTGAGAAGAGACTTTGATCATCCAGGACTCTCTAAAGCACTAATTCAAGTTCAGTTATAGAACTCTTGGAATTGGGCCCTGCATTCTGCATCTAATATCAAGCTAAATTATCCCAGAGGAAAATGCCCGTTTAGGTTTCCCAATCCCACTACACCGTGTGCTCCATGGGAGCACCGGGCCTTATCCAGCTGGCATGGGACTGGCAATGCAGCCCCTCACTTATGTGTGGAGGAGGGCATGCTGACTTAGAGCTTCCAGCCCACAAGTGTGTCCTGAGTATCTACCAAGTACAAGGCACACCATCTGCTCCATGCATGATGCAGCAGAAACACAGGAGAGGTTCTGCTCAGATGGAAATTGCCATCTAGCTGGGAAAGTGATTCAGGACACTTTCAGCTCATCCAAACATCTCCTGGCGTTTCCTTTGTCATTCACTGTTCCAAGCAAAAACATTAGCAAAAAGAGACTCAAAGGGGTGACTGTCCCCTCTTCGTAAAACCAATGAGGAACTAAATATGTTAACTATACATGATTCTTCCATTCTTATTTATATATGTACACACAGCGAGTATGTGTGTGTTTACCATGTTCCGTACAGTTATTTTATTGGGGGAGATGTTCAATATGGAGCAGGCAGGGCTTCCATCAGGAATATCTGGGCAAAGATTTGCTGTGTACTTAGCAGAAATTAGGACTAAGAATCAGGACAGGGCAAGGAATATAACTTGGTAGTAGAGCTCCTGCCTAGCAGGTGCCAGGCCCTGCGTTTGATCCCCAGCATCACAAAAACAAATAAATGAGGAATTAAAAATCAAGCTGGCCCAATATTCCTAAGCAGGTCCTTAAAACAGCAGTGTAGGGATGAGGCAGCTGTTTTCAGATGGTGGGGCTGGGAAGAGTTTTTCTGAGTGATGCTGGTGATGTAAGCATGTGTACTGTGAGGTAGTAGACAGCTTCCTTCTTCCTCAAGTCTGTTTACCTGCCCTAGAAGCCATAAGGACTGCTCCTTTCCCGGGCCAGATCAGCTAGGGATTCATAGGTCTGTGTGGGGGTAGTGGCAACAAGCACTTGGATTATAGGTGTTTCTATTTGTTTCTTCTTGTTTTTCCTCTCTTCATTTTTTTCTCCTCTCTACATTTTTTCTCCAATAAGGATGGATGGTTTTTCCAGTAAGAAAAGTGCTATTATAAGGTAAGTGGAAAGACAGAGGGGGTTCTCGGCATGTGTGTGCATGGCTGCTGTTCTCCATTTTCTGCCCCCTTCCCTTTTCCTTCTGTCTCCAGGTCATGGCACATCCCCAGGACAGCTCTGCAGTCACGGCTCTTACTGTGGGGCAGGAGTCACCCCCTGCCCCTTTGTGGAGACGTCAGTCCTCCATTCTCTGCTCTCTGGCCAGGTCTGAAGGCCGTCTTTATTTGCCTGCTTTGCCATCCCCTTACTTGTCTCTCTGGGTCCCTGGGGCCTCTTCCCCGTTCTGGGGACTCTCAGTGCTTTTTTGTGACCTTTCACTTTACATTTCACATGTGAGTGGACAGTTTTCTCAAATCCAGCTTTGTCATTCTGGGAACCCCCCCCCCCCGCCCACACACAGCTTTGGTTACTTTTGCAACACACAAGGTGGGTGTAGTGGTACATGCTTAGAATCCCAGAGACGCAGGAAGCCCAAACAGGAGGATCTCAAGTTTAAGGCCAGCCTCAAGCTTAGCAAGACCTTGTCTGAAAATAAAATTTTTTAAAAATAGCTGAAGAAGTAGACCTGGTTTCAACACCCAGTACCAAAACAAAAACCCAACCCCCCCCACACACACACAAAAGAAAAACTCAAAACCAAAAGCCATATATACCACCCAGTTGCCCTCTTCAGGGGAACTGGAATATGCTCTTTCCTTATACAGTGTTTTAAAGGAAAATACTTTTTAAAAAAAAATTGTAAAAACGATTTGTAAACCATCATGCAGGTGATCTACTGTCATTTGCAATTTAAAAATACCATATCAAAAGGAAAATTTAAATGACTTTGTAGTCAAAGTGTTTATTTATTTTTAATGTTGATATTGACAGTGGTGTTGGAAAGTAGAGAGGGAAAAGGAAACATTTTGATGAAAAACTTGAGGGAGTTCCCGATTCTTTGGATGTTCACACCACTTGCCCATCCGTTTGTCTAATTTCACTTTAACAATGAAATATTTGGGTTTTCTTATTTCTGAGCCGAGAGTTCTGTGCTGCCTATGCTACTACTCATGAAGGGGAGGGTGGTTTTCATCCCACCTAAACCCAGCTTGTGGAAAGGAGAGACAGGATTAGGACAAGCAAGAGAGGAAAGAGGGGGCTGAGGCTCACTCCCCTGGCAGGTGAAGAACTTGACAGTTATACGGGAGGGAGGGACACTTACTTGTGAGGTGGAAGGTGGCAGCACTTTCTCAAAGTTCTCACGAAAGGAAAGAAGCTGGGTACTGGTTTGGCCTAGTGTGTCCTCCACCAGCTTCCGGAAGGCCGGCTCCGAGATGTGGTGGTGAGGCAGCTGGGTGGGATGAACACATCAGCAGGAGACAGGAGGCAGGGTCCCTGGCCACCAGCACTCAAGCTCCCAATAGAACACTGGTCCTTTCTGTCCCACTCAGCTGCTGTTTTGTCTCCCCACTTCCCCTTAAGAAAGTGTCCCGCGTGGGGGTCCAGCACGACCGTCTGTCACGGTGCTGTAGCCACAGGGCTGGTGGTCCTGTATCCCTTTCTCCTAACCACCGTGATTGTACACAGGATGACAGTGGAGCCAGGCAAGGCCAACAAGAACCTGCTCATCAGAGTTAGTACACGAAGCTGAGAACATGAGGGTCACTCTTCCTTTGTATTATAGGAGGGGAAGGTACACACTTACAGCTCTCTCTAGCCATCTTTTTCCCACTGTGCAGAACTAATGCCTAGTGGAAAAAGAAAGCCAATCAAGAGGGAGAAACAGACCCAAGAGATAAAATTAAAGCCAGAGTCCTAAAGCTAGGCATGGTGGCACATGCCTGTAATCCCAGTACTCAGGAGGCCGAGGCAGGAGAATTGCCGAAAATTCATGGCCAGTGTGAGCTATGTAGTGAGTTCAAAGCCAGTCTGAACTATATAGTGAGACCTTGTCTCAAAAAAAAAAAAAAAAAAAAAAGACAGTCCTGGCAATGTTATCTATCCTGCTAGAGGCTGTGCCTAAGCCTCAAGCCTCTGCTGGCCTCCTGCATATACAGATCAGTACATTCTTCATGTTCCAGCTGGTTTGGTTTGCACTTTTGTAACTTGTAACCCAAGGGGCTCTAAGTAACACTCTGTCCTGAGACCCTGACCCTGTTAAAGATCTTGAATTCTCACACAGTCTGGGAGGAAGTGAGACCTATCCAACTTCACTGCTAACAGACATATCCAACTCTCTGAGTTGTCAGAACTTGTTACTCTTAGTTCTGACCCAGAGCCATTCTCCCCCAGGCTGCAGAGAGATAAAAGTTTCTGCCATGCAGGCCTTTCCCTAGTGCCACAGGGATGGGTTTGGAAAATGGACCACTGGGCACAGAAAGGGCCAGCTCACCCCAATCCCTGATAGGCTGTAACAGTGCACAGCACAAGACCACCAGGAAATGCCCTCAATTTCTGCTCTTGCAAACTTGACCTTCCCATAATGGCACCCCTACCCTGCACATCCCACCATACACTGTGGGCTGGAGGAAAGTGAAAAGATCATTTAGTCAGATTCACTCTTCTGCTGCTGGGAAAGAGAAGCACTTCTTTCTGCAGCGGGCTCAGGCATAATTCAACTTAAAATGAGTGTCTCAGAAATTTTGATTAAATGCTGGGAGGACCAAAAGGAAGAAAAGCCCATGGTGCAGCCCTCCTGCAGCTGAGCCGTAACCACTGTTCCAGTACTCTGGAGAAAGCAGGCTCTGACGAGCACTCAGCAGAAGTTCATCCTAAGGCTGCTTTTTTTTTTTCCATTTATTGTTTTTATTTGCAAGAGGAGTTGAAACAAATTTTAAGAGTGTTTTTCTTTTTCCCCTGAACATGAATCATTCAAGTAAAATCAACTTAACTACAGAAATGTAGCAAAGAAAGGGGAAACCACAACAACCCAATAAGCAAAGGTTGGAGGGAAGAGGAGGGTGCAGTTCACACATAACATGTACAAATGCCATATGATTCATCTGCTCAGGACGGCCTCCTCAGAAGGCAAGCACAAGGGCCCATTGTAAGAGGATGTTTCCCCCCAAACGTCTGAGAATGTTTCAACTTAAAGCTTAAGATTAAAAAGAGAAAAGAAAAAAATAACAACAAAAAAACCACAACCCCAAGAACCACCCAACCATAACCATCTTCCTTAATCGATCACAGGCGTTTCTTTCATTTTATAAAAAGATTAATAAAAAATATTGAAAAAATTATTTTCTCATTTTATATTTGTAAAGATAATAGAATTCAGAAGTATCTTAGAAAACCGACCAGAAACTGCCCTCCAGTTTCCACCCCTGTTGCTGAGGATCATCAGGACTAGAAAGTTTGGGACACTGGAGCTGCTGGTGGAGAATGGGAAGCCCAGCCCAGAAGAAATCAGAAAATACAGGAACAGGGTGCATAGGAAGTGGTTAGGAGCAACTCCATGTAACACATGGCTGCACAGAAAAGGGGAACACAAGGTGGTCAGAAAGGCCTTAAACTCCTCCTTGACATACAAAACCAGATTTTACAAAGATCCAAGAAGTTTGGTCCCAAACTGAGGTGAAAACGCTTCACATTCTTTGCTTTCTCTTTTAAGAATCAAAGTTGCCCAAATTAAATCTTTCTGCTAATATTACTACATATGCCTAAAAAAAGAAAAGAAAAAAAGGGGCCTTTTAAAATCAGGTCAGGGGAGAAGAGACTGAAAATCAACAAATTAGTCCTCTTAGCTCCAAATGAAATGAAAATTCAAAACAAAACTGTTGGTTTCTAATAGCAAACAAATCAAAATCATGCATTGCTCTCCCTCCCCTCCCCTAGCCCCCACCCCACACACCAACAACAAATGAGAAACACAGCTGGAGCCCAACATGTCATGTTCTGCTGAGAGCTGGGCCTGACCCCAGGCTCTGTGGTGGCTTCCTCACAGCACCAGGGATGCTTTCCGCTGTAGTAGGATTCTACGTGGCTGACGGGGTGGGGAGGATTTTCAGAATCTTCTTGAGCCTCCTCTGTTCAGCTCCTCGCCAGCTATATCTTCCCAGTGCCTCTCTCCCCTGGACAAGGGCTCTCTCATGGACAGATGGGCTCTCCTCCACCCCCTACCCCAGAATCCCCCAGAAGGGGAGTTCACAGAGCACCTGGAAAGACTCATTCCTCTGTTATAGTTCGCCAGACACTGACAGGCTTGGAGGCATTTCAGGCCAACGAGGAATCCATGCAAAGGAACCGTGGTCACACTCAGAATGGTGTGCTCCAGGCACAGAGTGGGCTATGGGTTGGAAAGGTGAGGGGGGCCAGGGAGGCAAATCCCACGGGAAATTTCATGCAAAGAATTGGATGGGTGAAGCTGAGTACAGGGACACGAAGCACAAGAGACAGCAGGTGGTGTGAGGAGCCCTGAAATTGCTCCTAAAGTCCTACTCCTGAGCCTGATATCACGGAACAAGATGCAAAAGTGGCTGGGTATCCTTCTTGTATCAGCTCTAGTCTTCAAACTTCTCAACTGAAAGTGTGTATTTGAAGGTTTGTCTAAACCTCTTTGGAATTTATTTATGTTTTCAGCTGACAGCTCCTTTTACATGATGTTTAGGATTCTGATCAGAACCAGGGCTCTGGAATTGAATGGCCAGGGCTCAAAATCCACTATTAGTTGTGTGGCCCTACATAAGGCACTCTACCTCACTGAGCATCATTTTGGCTTCCTTATTTGTGAAATGAGGATAACAATATTACCCACTCTGCAGGGTTGTGGTGAAGAATAAATAAAAGAATTATGAAGGAAGTGATCCAAATAGATATGTAACTATGCTCATGAGGAGGTAGCTGCTAGAAGCAGTAGTAGTAGCACCAGTTTGAGGCATTTACCGAACTCCTAACTGGGTAGAAGGTACCTCTGTCACCAACTTGTAGTATGCTCAAGGGATGGGTTCCAAGTCTGCTATTTTCCCAGTGATGTCTCCTGTGTTCCTGAGTCCCAGAACTGGGGAGACCCTGGAGTCCCAGTCTGAGCCCAGCTTTTATGGTCTGACTTCACTAAAGGAGGGAGAACAGGCTGGAGAGAGATCTAGAAGCCCCTCACCACTACCTCCTTCTTGGCACCGGATAGCCCATTTGGGAAGGCTCAACCTCCCTGCCTCCCACCCCTGCACGTGCCTGGCTGAAGAGCCATGCCCCAGAGGTGCCCCTGTCCCAGCTGCCTTACCTGGGATATGCTGCCCTCCGCCCTCTGCAGCACTTGCTTTGCAAGGTCCCTCTGCAAGGCCATAAATGTACGCAGGATCTGGCCCAGCCACTCCACCACTAGCTGGTTAAACTTCGGGAGCTCAGCCACCAGCAGGGAGTTGAGGGCCTGGTATGTGTGCCGGGCTGCCTCCTCCTCGTAGGTCATGCTGCCCACCTCCAACAGCTTCTCTTCCAGCCGCTCAAAGTCCAAGAGTTTATCTAGACGCTTCTTGATCAGGTTCTGAGGACCAACCAGGGCTTTGGCAAGGCTGCACAGTGGCCGCCATACCAGGCCTTTCAACCGCTGCTTCTGTGGGAAGAGGGGAGCTTGGGAGCCAGAAAGGAGGTGGCAGAGGGCAGGGCTGGGAGAAGGGGCTTTGGAGGCAGGCTGCCTGTTGTTCCAGTCCCCACTCCACTGCCTGGATGTGACCTGTAGCATGTTATCTCACCTCTCCAGGCCTCAATCTTCTGTCTGAAAACAGATGGCTTGCAAGCAGCTTACCAAGAGTGCCTGGCACAAAGTAGGTACTCAATTTATGCCACTTCTTAGTATCGGTAATATGCAAAAATCTTGTTATTTTTATTCTTTTGGAGGTATTAGGGATTGAACCCAAGGCCTCACCCATACTAGGCAATGCTCTACCACTAGAGAGCTACAGCCCATGTACAAAGATCTTGAAAAAAGATTCTGCATAGAGTTGTGGTCAAAAGCATAGTTTGGGACTAAGCCCTCTGTGTACCACTGATCTTCTGTATAAATGATCCAGAAGGTCATGGCTCTTTGAGCTTCAAGCTCCCTTCTGCAGAATGAAGCTATTAACAGGAGCTCCCTAAAGGTATGTGGTGAGGAGTAATGGAGTAAAGAATATAAAGGGCTTAGCATGGTGCCTGGCAGAGGTGAGACTCAATAAACACTAGTGGGGCTATTTTTATCAGAAAATGAACTAACACCAACCTCTACCTTGCACTAATACCAACCGCCATCCATAGTGGTTTTGGATGTGGCAATTGTGCAAAGTACCTGACTTCTAAACATCACTCTCGTAGGCTCTGTCGTCTGCCTGATACAGAAAGAAAGAAGAAGAAGTTCTACTCACAAACTCCAGGAAGGCCTCATGCTGCAAGTCTCTGGCCAGGCTGCAATACTGCACCACAGGCCCCCCGGGGATGTCCAGGTCACATTCATGAGGCCGGAAGTGAAGGAAAGCCTGGGTGTGGGGCCAGGAGAATGCACTCAGGGCTCACAGTGACCATCTTACACCTGAATCCCCTCCAGCAGACCTCCTGAAGAGGGCTTCCAGGGTCTCTGCACACCCTGTGACAGGGAAGTACATGGCTTTTTCTGTCCTGCACAACTTGGGTGATTAGAAAGTTCTCCCTAGACTGAACCAATGTCCCAGTGCCCCTCATGAGTGCTTCCTGACTTCAGATCTCAGCATACTACCTTTGTAATTTTTTTTCGCCATGTCCACATTCTGCATATATTGATACTTTTCTTTAAATCAATGATCTCAATTTAAATCAATGCATTAAAAAAACTTACAAAGTAAAAACCAGTAATATTTGCCATAGATAGGCATGTGAAAATCACTGCTATAAAAACAAAACATTGTTATTAAATTCTAACTGGGCACCATTGCTCACTAAAGATCCCCATCCTGCCACTTGTTCTGCAGGTATTAAAGACAAAGTAGGGCCAGGGATTTAGCGCAGTGGTTCTACTGCCTGCCTTGCAAGTGCAAGGTCCCAAGTTCGATCCCCGGCACCAAAAAAAAAAGACAAAGTAGCTCAGAGGCTTTTCTTGGACTTCATCAGAAGGTTGAAAACAAATTTCTTTCTCACCCTGGGATTCTGTGTTAACAACCTATCTGCATCTAAGGAAATACAGCCTCAATGCCTCCAAATATTCACCTGCCTACAAATGTCCTCACTTCTCTCTGTCAAGGCCTGATACCTGCAGGTCTCTCGCTCCTTTTTCATGACCTGGCTCAGAATGCCTTCCCCTCCCCTGTGCTCACTGTGCTAAAATGGGATCCTGGCTGTTCAGATCCTTCCACTGGGGACCCTGGATGGAGCATGAATAAGCAGGGGCACTGACTGTGACACACGGAGGAATGTGGAACCAAGATCATCTTCCTCTTGCACGCTTCCAGTAATGGCACCCACCTTCCATTATCCATAGAGCCGTTATCTTCCCTGACTGAGCTGGCCTGTCCAAACGGATGCGACTGACATCTCACCACCCAGGAAAGAGTGGATGGAATGAGTTGGCACAGTGCCAAGAAGGAAGGGGGCATTCTGGCCCAGGAAAGTGACATTCTAAGTGGGGATACAAACGGGTGGCCCTGTGGGCTGAATTCAGTTGAAGAGTTGTATCTTCTTGGGCCTGAATAGCATTTAAATTTTTATTGAACTAGTTGCTCACATTGACACATCAGGATATTTCGCCTAAAAATCTGAATTTCCAGGATCTTGTTGTCAGTCAGAAGTACCGGCCATGCCAGGCCCACATTCCCACACAGCAACAATCTCCCAAAGTCAAGTAATAGTGGCTCCTTTCAATCATTCATTCAGCCACCTGAATTTCAAATATATGGAAGCCTGCTGAACATGTTTCATAAACAGCTTGTCAGAGGTGAGGCTCCTATTTTGTCACATTGCCTATTCCCTGCACACCCCCCTCCGTAGCGAAGTTACCTGCCTGGCAACTTCTGGCACCTGAGTTTGTCTCCTTGGCTCTAGGAGCTGGTCCCTGGAGAAGAGGGTGCTGAACCCTGTGGATTGTGACCCAGCCCAGCAGAGCTCCTCTTGTATGGTGGCCCTGGGGGGAGGGTGCTGGCAGCACAACTGACTGGGTAACCTCATCCACATGGCCTGTGGTTGATACCTCTGCAACATGAGAACTTGGCCACCAGCCCAGACCTGCCCCTTACGAATTCTGCAGGGTCCTTACCTCCAGGTTATCCAAGTAAGTTGCCACATTATTCTTCAGCTCTGTCACACACAGAGACACCCACTGGAATTTCTCCTCTAAATCATCAAATTCCTTGTCTTCTGTCTGAAAGTGAAGTGTTGCATGTGAGGGCTGAGAGTGTCCACAAGGGGCCAGTGTACAACCAGCTCCCACTTCCCAAGTCCTCACTGGGGACAAGTTTTCCACAGACTTGTCCACTAGAGCTCATTCCTCCAGCCCCAAAGCCAAGTGGGACACTTAAAAAGGCAGTGTGGCTCAGTGGTTTTTTTCATTTGGACCATATGGAATCAGGCTCATGAGCGTGTAAGTCAGGGTTCATCTGCTTCCTAGCTATGTCACCATGGACATGTATTTTATCCTCTCTGAGACTCCATTTTCTCATCTGTCTGCAACATGAGGATAATAAGAACACCAATTTCACCGTATGGATCCAATAGTCCTGGTTCATAGGAAGAACTCAACCTGAGCTGCTACTAACAGCTCTTTGAGGCTGTTTGCACAATCCCGGAGACCAGTTCTCTTATCTGTAGAGAAGCCCCAGAAAAAGATGGGCAGACACTGGCTCTTCAGAAACAGGGGGTGCCTCTTCTGGGTACCTCATTATCTCAGCCTCAGCTGCCTCACTTCAGAAAGGACCCTCAGCCTCCTGCCCCACCCTGTGGCCCCTTGGGAGGAGCTGGATTGCCTCCCCACCCAAGCCATGCTCACCCTGGGCACCAGCCCCGCCTCCTGCTTCAGCATCTGGCTTAGCCGGGTGGTTTTCTTGGAGAGGGTGTGCGTGTTGATTCGGGCCAGCCGCTCCCGGAGGGTCAGCTGCTCCACCTTGGTGTACTTGGAGGCTGCACCAACATAGGCGGGGCGGGGCGGGGCGGGGCGGGGCGGGGGGGGGGCTTCAGTGACCAAGGCTGGCCTAGGAAAGCCAGCATCCCTGATGTACCTGGCTGAGTCCTAAGGGCCATCAGGATCCGTCATTGGAATGGGGAGTCTCGGAGGGAAGTTTACAGCTCAGGGCCCTCCATCCCAGGTGTGAGCTTCCCACCTGCCCGATTCTGGCACGTCACCATTCCTTGGGACCTCAGGTGCCTCATCTGTAAAATGAGGCTGGCCACTTGCAGAGCTGCTGGGAAGATCACATAAGACTGCAGGTGTGAAGGGCATTGTAAAGGAGGACCCAGAAAGTAGTGATCTATCTGGCTGTGATTCCTTGGCCAGGTCTAGCCAGGCCAGCTCAAAACCACACTTCCAGCCCTGGCTCAGAGTTTCCTACTCCTCTGTTACCTCTCGCCATGGGTGCAGAAATGAGTGGGGAGGAATCCAAAGGCACCAAATACAGTGTGGCATGGTGATGAAGACCCCAGGCCTGAGTGTGAAACCTGGCTCTGTCCCTTACCAGTTCTGTGACTAGTAACAAATGATGCAGGCTCTCCTTTTACCCAACTGTGAAATGGGGTTAACAGGGCCAACCTCAGAGGCTTAGCACCATGGTCAACTAAGATAATGAAAGAAAAAATATTGCTCAGTTCTTAAAAAAACAACATTGATCATTACCCTGTTTGATCATTACACACTGTATACATGTGTTGAATTATCACACTGTGCCACCTAAATACTTGTACAATCGAAATAATAATTTAAAAAGGAAACATCAGCTAAATTTATGATCATATCGATTCTGTGTGCAACTAAGTTTCTCTATACTTGGGACATTGCTCCATTTTCCAAATCTTTTTACTGCAGCAACCTAAAAGACAGGGTTCCCTCCTGCCCCCCTGCAGTATTCATTTTTCCTCCACAGTGTAGCAGCCACAGTTCGGATAGGGTTGATCTCACTTTGACTCACATAAGCCAGTCCATAGAAACCCACCCTCCTGGCACTGGTGGTTGGTTCTGTAGTGAGTGGCATATAACCAGTTCACGGTATTTTCCTAACCATGGGGATGGGTCCATGGTGAGCCCATGTGGGTCTTAACAGGATGAAGCTTCAAGTAAACTTTTATGGCTAAAGGGAGAGAAATCCTATCTTACCCTAGAGAGTCTGGTGTATAGATGTGAGTTTCAGAATAACAATAGCCACTTCTTTCCTTGAGGGAAACCAGCTTGAAGATGAAGCTAATATAAAGAGCAGGGACAAGAGAATTACAGGAATATGAAGGTAAGATCTTGATCAAATTGAACCTAAAGCCTACATTACCTCTGGATGTATAATTACAAAAGCCACAGCATCTTCTTTATCAGTGAAGCCAGTTTGCTCTAAGGTTTTTGTAACCGGAAGCATTCTCATCAATGTATTCCCTAAATACCCCAAGTCCTTACCCACTTCCTTGCGCATCTTGTATTCATTGATGTTGGCATTCACATCCTGGAGGGCAGAGGTAGCCCTCAGAAGGACCGGGTAGGCACTGGCATCGGGGAGAGTGTTCTCCAGGATTTTCTGCAGCAGCAGTGGGTACTTGGTGACCCTCTGCAGAGGAATTACCAGTATGAAGCTGAGGCCTGAGGGTCCAGCTTGGGGCCTAAGGGAGAAGGCTGGTATTAGGCAGGGAAAGCCCACCCTTCAGGGCATCAGGGGTCCTGGGCGATGTTTGTATAATCTCAGGCAAGTTGCCTCGCCCCTGTGGTCCTCACCATCCTCATGAATAATCTGTGAGTCCAGATGCTTGATGGGGAGTGTCAGTCCCAGGCCTGCTTCCCCATCTGTACCAAATCCAATGGTCCATTCTCTGCTCTCAGCTTACTGCTCTCTGGGTAAACACAGCTGACCACTTCCCGTTGAGACACATTCTTCTTTAGCCCCAGACCCTGTTCTCTGCTTCTCTTCCCTCCACATGCCACTCTCTCAGCCTTCTCTGCTGTCCCCTCTCCAACGCTGGATCGACCTGGGGTGTCCTCTCCACCCACTGACTCTCTTAGTGACCTCATTCGGTCCTATGGTTTTAAGCTCACATTTCTACCCCCAACTTCTGTCCAGGGCTCCAGACTCACACATTCAACTCCCTACTTGACATCTCTACTCCAATATGTCCCAAGCACAACTCTGTGTTGGGCGTTCTCACCATATTTCACTTAATAAAATGGCCTACTTTTGAGAGCTTGTTTGAAGTTCTAGCAGGAGAGTACAGTGAAAGGAAACAGTCCTCTTCTATGGGTGTGGGGGGGTCACCCTCTCTGACCAAGTGTGTACCTGTGGGAGGGACGCACATAGAGCAGTGAGGGAGGAAGGGGATACCTGCCTGGCTAGTCAAATCACCTGAATCAACCCTGGTGATTCATAGGTGACAAATGTCATAGCCAGATTGCCCTCACATCCTGTTCTGCTGCTATTTATTTATTTATCTATTTATTTTGAGACAAGGTCTTGATATATAGTCCAGACTAGCCTTGAACTCACTATATATCCCAGGTTGGCCTCAAACTCATGGTGATCCTCCTGCCTCAGCCTCCCGAGTGCTGGGATTACAGGCATGTACCACCACTCCTGGCCTGTGCTGCTTTTTAAAATCACAAAAACTTAATTTTTCAAGATGCATTTAAGGTATAAATACTGTATACTTTAGTATAAAGTTATAAATAGCTGTCTTATAGAAAAAGTCAATTCCTATAACTTCTTTTAACTATTTTAGCACTTAAATAGTTGAAGCAAACAGCAAAATGTTAACTCTTGCTCATTTTAGGTGGGAGTATGGGAATGTCTGTTGCATTATCCTACTTTTTAAAAGTTTGAAATTTTTATTAAAGAAGAAAACAGAGCACGGGAACAAATGGTGTTGAGGTCCATTCCAGACTCACCCTTGATGCATGGATGACCTCTTCCAAGTCCCTTTATTTTGGTACTGGGGATCAAACTCAGGACCTTGAGCTTGCCAGGCAGGCGCGCTGCTACTGAGCTAAATCCCCGACCCTCCAGGCCCCTTTTTGATGACTGGAGTTTCATCAGGAGTTCCGAGTCAAGGGCAACTGCAGACAGGCCCTAACAAGCATTTCTTGATTTTGACTGGTTTCCGAGAAACCCAGAGAATTTCAACCTGCAGCTATCCAAGTGTGCCGCCTCTAAGAAGCCTCACAAGTGCTGCTCAGGTCTGTCCTTTGGCCCCTCCTTGGTGGCTCCCTTGCCTCTTCTTCTTCCTAAGGAAAAATCTCCAGACCAAATGTCCAAGAAAGATCAGCCATGAGGCCAAGAATAGACAGAGCAGGTGGGACCCCCTCGGAGGCAGCGTGTGTGGGGAGGCAGGGTGGGATTACCCAATAGGACCCGCCTCCGCTGTCCATCTGTTCTCACCAAAGGTGTCCTGGAGCTTGGCTGATAGTGGGTAGTGGGGGTGGAAACAGTTGGTAGATATTTGCAAAACTCCATCCTCTGGGCTTACTTTCCCTGGGAAAGAGCCAACTGCCTCCTGGGAAGCACTGTCACCTTACAAATCAAAGGACAAGGGAGACAGTCCCTCAGAGGGATGACATGCTGTCTTAAAAACCATCAAGGAGTCACTAACGAACAATGGTGGCTGTTCACATTTATTGCCTTTCCAAGGTAGTCTGAAGAAAACTTTTTACGCAGTCTTTAGATAGGCACGAGAAACAGAATGAGAATATGCAGATCTGGGTGAGTGTGAAGAAACAGGACTTCTTCCAGTCTCTTGGTGGGAGTACCACTTGGCAAGGACTTCTTTGAGAGCAGTTGGGCAATTCATGAAATGCACGAACCCTTTGCTCCACTGACCCTACTCTAGAAATCTACCCAGAGAAATACTGGATTAAGCAAACAAAGATAAGGGTAGAAGTTATTCAGCAACTGTATTTATGATTGCAAAAAAACCTGAAAACAATCCAAAAATCCATGGACAAGAGGTCAAGTAAACCAGAGTCCATAGCTGTCCTGGAAGGAACTCTGTATAGGCATAAAAATAACACAGAACTATTCACACTGTTGTGAAAACATATTCATAACTCTACTGATTCAGTGAGAAAGCAAGTTCTAGAACAGCATGTATACTAGAAGCCCCTTAAAAATATTCTCCCTGCTTGTTGCCTGCTTACATATCAATCTGTCTGTCTGAAAATATAGAGAAGAACATTTGGATGGACAGGGATGAAGTAATGGGAGACCAAGGGAGGATGGACTTTTACTTTATATATTTTTGTATAGTTTTCTCTTTTTTGATAAGCACATATTGCTTTTATATTTAAAACAAATAATGAACTGATAAAGCAAAAGAAAAAAGGCTCTGCACCTTCTCCAAACTGAGCTGCATCAACCATCATTCTGGAACGTGGGAGTTTGTGCTGACTGATGCAAGTCTGCCTCCACCCTATATCTAACCAGAGCTCCCTGCTCGCTGCAGAAGGACATCTTTGATTCTCTTGGCTCTCAGAGGCAAGTGTTCCCTTGAAAGACAGGATAAAATGAACACCTTCCCAAATAAAGAGGGAGTATGCATTTTGGAACCAACAGAAAATCTCATTAGAAGTACCATTTATGCTGATGTCTGAGAAAGGATCATCTATGGTGGCACAGTAATTCCAGTTGGCCCGGCTCAGGGAAGTATCCTATGGTCATAAGCACAAGAAAGCCAAGATCATTGTTTCAGGAAGGAGGAGATCAAAATGCAGGCTGACAGGATATTCCCCCTGGCATAGCCTGAGACCAGACACTCTCGCTCAGGGATCCTGCCAACCTGCAGACCTTGGGGATACAGGCATGGAGCAGGCAGGGGTCAGGCACCTGGAGGCCTTGCACACACCATTCCACATTGCAGCGAGGAGTTCTACATTTCACACATCCCTCTGAATGTTCAAAGGCTAAACAAAGGCCTCAAATGTGCTGTGATTTTGAGAACCATAACAGTTGACACTTGAACTCTAGTCATCACATGGCATAACACTGGAAATTACCATGACATCATCTTTTATACATAACACTCAAGTCATGTGCAGGAGCACCACCCTTCCTTGTGTTCTCTGCCTTCCCAGGGGGTAATATTATCCCTACTTCAATCATGCTATTTTCTTCTTTCTCTTATCATATACAAGGAAGTCAGATATGTTTTCCAGGAGTTATTCTACAGTACACACATCTTCTGCTCCTTCCTTTTCCAGTACTTCCTGCACAGAAGACATCAGTCTTTTCTTAAATCCAAACTTGTTATAGATGCTAGCATCTGAATGGGTCATTACGTCTTTTAATGTCATGTGACCCAAGCATTTGCACAATGAAATACACATTATTTTATTAGAAATTTTCTTTTTATTTCTCCTTTATATTACAGTTAAGTCATCAAATTGATTAGTCAGTTATGAATATTAGGTAGGACTTTTTCAAGCCCTATCTCAGGGTAATAAATGTATTTAATATTTGTTATAAAAAGGGGACATTGGGACTGACAGAGTTGGGAACTATAGCATGGTCTCAGAGAAAATATAATCCCTGCCTGGCTAAGATAACTAGAATAGCAAGAATTCACTGAGTGTCATTATGGGCCATGTGGCTGCACTCCACAAGGTGCTTTACCCAGAACAAAACTAGATGAGAAGTGGCTCCCTCCCAGGGAGGGGCTGAGCCAGATCTGCTGCCTGGCTCCAGGGCCTATAAGAGAAGTTCAGGTTGCAGAGGATGTGACAAACAGCAGCTTGGTGCCAACTAGGGCTCTCCCACAGCACTTTTAATATGTTTCTACTAGATGTCAACACCAAGCACCTGGGACATGTTATACCCAAGTCTCTAGCTTCTCTTAAGAAATCAACGGATCTGCCTACAGGGGACTCACTTTCTTTTTTTTCTTTTCTTTTTGGTATTGGGGATCGAACTCAGGACCTTGTGCTCACGAGGCAGGCGGCAGAACCACTGAGCTAAATCCCCAGCCCTCTTTTCTTTTCGTTTTTTAGACAGGGTCTCACTATTATTTCAGGCTGGCTTTGAACTCATGGTGATCCTTTTGCCTCATCCTCCTGAGTGCAGAGACCACAGGCATTGTGCCACCATGCCGGCTACAGGGGACTCACTTTCTACACGGCACTTCATGCAGATCGTTTGCAAAACATGACTGTAATTATTCCCCTCCCTATCTCCACAGGTCTTTGGGGGCCCTCTCACCAAGAGAGGAATCTGTTTCCCTCCCCTAGATCTCGGCTTAGCTGTACCACTTGATTTAGGTGACATCGAGGCTCCTGAAGGTCTTGCTGTCACCACTGCCCTGGGAGCCTGTGACTGCCATGTGAACAAGCCAGCCTGAAGGAAGAATAGAGAACTTGTGGCCAGAGCTGAGCCAACTCCTGTGTTCCAGATCATGAAAGAGCTTGGCCAAGATCACCAAAGCTGACCTACCCAGGGATCCCAGATCCATTGGGTGCTCAGCCATGACCAGAAGAATCTTTTCCTGATCCCAGTTAAATTGCTAACATGCAGAAGTGTGAGCTAAATAAATACCTGCTTTAGGACACTATGTTTTGGGGGTGGTTTGTTCTCTGGCAAGGGCTACCTGATACAGGAACAACCCCTAAGGCTGTTCTGCAGCTGTGCTCCATGCAGTCTGTTGCCTCAGTCTCCACTCCTCTTTTTTCTCCTACCCTGAGCACCTTGCTTCCCTGATTTCTGTCTTCTGGCTCACTCCTACGGGAATGGATTTGGAGACCCTTACAAAGCCTACATTTGTGAGACCCACAAGTGGGAAATGAGCATAGTTATTTATGAGGCAAGGAGAAGCTAGAAAATGGGCACTTATAAAAAAGACTTTGGTGGAAAGAGGGAGATTGAGGAGTGAAACAAAGACAAAGGAGAGATGGTAGGAGGGTCTACATGGGAGCATCTCCTCTGAATTTACACCACCTGCTATTCTCTGAGTGTAAAAGGGAGGTCAGAATAAGATAAATTAATACTAATAAACACCTTTGTTTTCCTCCACTACTCTGATTTCCAGAAAATGATCTTGGTCTACTTCCATGTGGTGAGGTTGTCAAAAGGAACTCTCTCTCTCTGTTTTTTTTTTTTTTTTGGAAATGATTTGGTCATTATATTTTCTTTGGGATTTTCTTCTCTGCTGATGAGTATCAATGATTGTCTCCATATTTCAGTAATTTTAGACCTGTTATTGGCTCATATTTGTTCTTCCTTTAGAGTAAATCTTGGTTTTATTCATCTCCTCCTTGGTTCTAGGACGTTCTCTTTTCCCATGAATTTCCTCTGGACTTAATGTCTGGATGACATCCTTTACGTAGTCCCTTTTCTATTGTAATAGCAAAATCCCACTTTGTACTTTCTTCCCATCAGACATCTCAGTTCTCGAATCTTCCATGTCTTTATATCTCCAGTGTATCTTGAAGTAGATTGTTTAAATATTTTATACTGCTCTGTTCTTTTCGTTTCTTTCTCCCCCAGGTCTTGGCATTTCCACATAGAGGCTTCTCCACTGGAATAATATTCTTCATTACTGTGTCCATTTGCTAGGCCTGAAATGCCCAGGATCCATCATTTGGCAATGAGAGAACAAATACTAGACACTGATTTCCGGAATGCAGCAGAGGATACCACTGTACACAAATTCCCTCTCTCTCTTTTTTTTAATAAGAAGTACAACAATTTGTAGGAAAGGATAGAGAAATGACTCATATATACAAAAAGATGACCACCTTAAGTTATACGATGAATGCAAGTAGAACCATATCAAGACACCATTTTCACCTCTCCCCCAGTGCAAATACCCCAAGTTTGAGAAGACATCCTGGTGGAGAGGCTGTGGGGAAACAGGCAGGCTCATCTGTTGCTGATGGGACTATAAAGTGACATGGCCGATACAGGAATGATTTTATAGTTTATCAAAATTATCAATACACACTTCCTTTGACCTAGCAATTCCACTTCTGGAAAAGTATCTCACAGCTAAACTTGCACCAGAAGGAGAGAATTTATACTAGTGAATAACAAATAAACATTGTAGCATTGTCTATAATAGCAAAAGGACAGGAACAAACCAGATGTCTACCCACAGAGACCAGTTAGATAAACTGTGGTCCAGCCACCTGGTGGAAGAATATGGATAAATTCAAAGGACATGGATGTCATGCGCTGAAATGCAAAGACCTCCCAGAGAGATATAAGCATCGTGAGATTTTTAAAAGATACAAACTTTCATTTAAAAGTAAAAAAAATTAGAGTATTTAGAATTTGCTTGTATATACAAAAAGGAACTACACAAAGATACATAAGAAATTCAAAATGGTTACCTTAACTTTGGGGCTTTGATTGGGTAGATGAAGGGCAGGATTGGGAAGGGTTTTTTCACTATATAATGTTTATGTTTTATAGTTTTTGAATCATGTAACTATGTTACTCATTCAAACTTTTACATTTAAAAAATGTGTCCCCTGCATTTTTCTACCTGGACTCCCACCTGCAGGTGCCAATTCTGGGTTGTGAGGCTACTGGGAATAGTTCTGACCTTTTTCCATGTGGCAGAACTTCAGCCTTCTGTACAGAGAGGAGCCGAGGTGACACACACCTGCTTCCCATCTCTGGTTCTGACAACCCCTGGGTCCTACCACGTCACTAACCTTCCTATAGTTGCCTAAGTGCCATTCATTAAATGTTTCTGGTTCTCTGCCTCTGGATATAGGATAGGATGCTGTGCCTGCCTCCTGGCAGATGGATAAAGCAGTGATTAGTGCAGGCCAATGAACTGTGAGAAGAGATGCAACTCTAAACTAGAGCATTTAAAACCAGCACTAGGGCCAGGGATTTAGCTCAGTGGCAAAGTGCCTGCCTTGCAAGCACAAGGTCCTGAGTTCGATCCCTGGTTCCCAAAAAAATAAAACCAGCACTAGGCCTCTGTAGCTCCCTTGTCCTTGATGAGTTACTGGCAATCCTCCAGACACTGACTGCTGTGAGCGGATGCATCCTTCTGGAGTGAGGATGATGAAGGGGAGAGCCCACAATGGAGCACAAGGAAGCTAGAAACCCAGGTCAGAGACCACTGAGATGTGGGAGCTGCTTGTCTCAGCAGCATGGCCTGGCCCATCCTGACTGATAACTGACATGCTCTGAAGCAGCATGGACCAGCCCTGAGCAGGACTGAGATAAACGACTGTCAGGGTCAATGAGCAAAGGCTCAGTCATCACACTACTCACACCACGGCCTGAATGATGCTCTGGATCTCCTGCTGTAGCTCTGGCTCCTTCTGGTATGCTTTCAACAGCAACAGGGCCTGGTCATAGTTGGCACAGTAGACCTTATAGACTTGCTCAAAATCCTCTTGGAATTCCAGGAATAAGTTACCTGATGGCAAACAAGCAACAAGGGGCTTCCAAGGGTGTGTCTAGGTGTCCTCTTGCTTGGGACAGGTAGGCAGTAAGTGAGCCACCCTGCTCTGTAGTGAGACCACTAGGCTTCGCCAGCCTCACCATAGGCAAGTTGTCTCATCTCCCTGAGTTTCTGTTCTTCATCTCAGTTTTATAAATTGCTGAGGAACTCAGCAGCAGAATGGTGTAGACCTCAGGCTGCTGACCTATGAATACAAGTTGAGTATCCCTACGGTTAGGACCAGAACTGTTTGGAATTTGGATTTTTCAGATTTTAGAAGATTTACATTTGTATAATGAGATATCTTGGGAATAGGACCCAAGACTAAACTTGGAAGTCATTTATGCCTTATATATTCCTCCTGCCCATAGTCTGAAAGTAATTTTATACCACATATTTAGTGTACCTGTGTTTTTACTGTGAACCATCACATGAGGTCTGCTGTGGAATTTTCCACTTATGGCATCAAATCAGCACTCAAAAAGTTTTGGATTTTGGAGCATTGCAGATTTTGGATTTTAGGGCTAAGGATGATTAACCTACTTAATGAACATCAGCTATGACTGCAGTAATGGTAGCAGTGATGCTCACATTTGAACAGTGCTTTATAGCCTAAAAACACACTCATGGCCATTAACTCATGTTATCTTTATGATTAACTATATGTGGTAAGTAGAGTCAGGAACCCCCAGTTTCCAAAGACACATGTAGCACAGCACAGGTAGTTATGAGTGAATAAGGGTGTTGGCATCAGAAAGAATGATGGCCAGATCTTGGGGTAGCCCTTCCCTAGTTGTGTAACCTGGGGAGGTATTTGACCCTTCTAATCCTCTACTTTTTCATCCACAAAATGGGGATGTGATTAGTACTCACCTCCAAGAGTTGTTTGTCTGTGTGTGTATGTTTGTGTGTGGATTAAATAAAACAATATATGCAATTCACCTGTTGTAAATTCATTCACCAAAGATTTGCCAATTGCTTATTAATTGATTATGTGCCAGGCACTCTGCTAAGTTCTAGGAACAAAACAAAGCCTCTGTCTCATGGGGTTTATAGTCTAACAGGGAAGACAGACAATAAATAAATACAATTGGTCCTCCTTATCCATGATCTTGCATGCAGAGATTCAACCAACCAGGGATCAAAAATATTCAAAGGGAAAATGTCTCTGTACTAACCATGCACAGGCTTTTTTTTCCCTGTCATTATTTCCTAAACATTATAATATAATGGCTATCTGCATAATATTAATATTTTTAGTCATATAAGCAATCTAGAGATTTGTACCAACTCCCCATGATGAATGTAATCATATATTGCAAACATGTACTGTTAAAAAATTTTTAAATTAGAGATGATTTGAAGTATGCAGGAGGATGATCATATGTTATGCAAATATTATGCCATGAATATAAAGAACTTAAACATCAATGGATTTTGGTGTCTAAGAGGATCCTAAAACTAGTCTCCTGCAGATGCTGAGGGATGATTGTGCACTACATATGTCTTGAGTAACATGAATTAAGGCAAAGCAAACAGATGAGAGAGTGCTGGGCCCTCTATTTGGGGGTAGTCTGCATGTAGGTGTCTGTCAGATCAGAAGTAACCAACCCTGGGAATTCTGGGAATTCTTGGGGAAGTAGATTTCACAGGGAGACACCCAGAGAGGGGAGCTTGGGTATGGGAGTAACAGCAAGAGGTAAGGGCAGCTGAAGAAAAGTGGGCAAGGGTACAAAGGAGAAGAAAGAGATGGTAAATCGAAGTCAGATCACACAGGGCCTCAAAGTGAGGTGCAGCAGGGTGTTCTGATTTCTTCTAAGGGTAGTGGAAAGCAGTGCTAGGGCTTTGAGGAGGGCACTGGGATCTGATTTCTGTTCAATTTCAGCACCGTGTATGGTAGAGTTGGAAAAACATAGGGAAGATTTGAATAGCCCCAGGGTAAGAATGGTGTGCAAACTCATGAAGCGCTCCATATTTTAAAATCAGAAATGAAAGAGGTTGGTTACCAAAAAGGGGAGGATGGAATAGGTGGGAAGAATGGGGGAACGGGGTCTTCAGTAGGAATCAAAGAGAAGCAGCAACGCTCCACTGAAAACACCTTCTGTACAGCTCTGACTCTTGAGATCATAGTAGTTTTTCTATAAACCTGGAAATACTCTAAAAAATAAAGTCTATTAATTAAAAAGAAAAAAGATCAATCTTATCTTGAGATTAAGCTAGGGGTCAAAAGTGGTGACAGGGCAAGGTGTGGTGGTGCAGGATTGTAATTCCAGCTGTCCAGGAGGCTGAAACAGGAGGATCTTGAGTTTGAGGCCAGCCTAGGCAACTTAGTGAGACCCTGTCTTAAAATTTTAAAAAATTTTTAAAGAGAGGGGGGCTGGGGATGTAGCTCAGTGATATAGCTCTCGCCTAGCATTCATAAGGCCCTGGGTTCAATCCTCAGCACCACAAACAAACAAAGGGTAACAAAAATAGTTATGAGGAAGATATTAGAAATATCCAGACAAGAGAATTTGGTGGCTTGGCAGGCAGGAAGCAGTGAAGGTAAAGGGAAATGTATTGGTGAATACAGGGTATTGCCCACACAGGGCAGAGAGGAATCAGAGACCACAAGAAGTCCAGCCTACCCTACTGCCTGCCAAAGACACTGGCTGGGCCTCTGACCTGGACCAGCCTCCCTTGGTGCACAGCAGATGGTGCCCAGAGGAGCACAGTCCAGTTAAAAGTCCCCACAGTAGGGTTAACGCCTTGGGACTGTACCCCTTCCCTTGTGTAAGTCCAGCCAATCCTCAGGAATGACTCCCAAGAGAAGCTCCCAGAGCCAAGAAGGGCATGACCAGGAAAGATCATCCCAAAGCTACAGCTAGGGAGGGGTCTGTATGATTAGAGGAGGTCAGCTGCTAGAGTTCCTGCACAGGTGACCCTGCTGAGAGCTAATGTGGGCCTGGCCATGAAACACAGGGTAGTCCCCACATTCTCCTGAATGTCCTGAGGGATGTCCTCAGGAGTATGACCAATGTGGCTGGGGTGGGAGTACTTTAGTAACTGAAGGGCAGGGAAGGTGAATGAATGCTCAGAGAGTGAGAGGTAGAACGTCCAAGACACCACAGTAAAGACTTTTCCTCCTCTCTTGTCCTTTCATTTTTGGGAAAGGGAAAGTCTGCTAAGATTGTTCAAACAGGATTGACTGAGGTCTAAAAATCTTTTTAAATATTCTTGCTATTCCTTAGGAAAAGGGCTTCCCTTGCATAGCAAGAGCCAGCAGGAGCCAGAGTAGCCGACCCAGCACGCAGTTGCACGAGAGAGAAGAAACATCATATGGGCTCTTTGTGCCTTTTTGGCTAACCACAGGGACAAAGGACGAGGACAGTCTATGGTTTGAATATGTACTGCAAAGATGATGTGTTGGAAACTTAATTGCCCATGCAACAATATTGAGAGGTGGGACCTTTAAGAGGTGATGTGGTCATGGGAACCAGGTATCTGTGGGCTCCAGCTGCCTCTGACATGTTGTGTTTCAAGGATTCCAAAAACAGATTCCCTTTGAGCTACACTTCCATGGAATGCTGGATAGTTCCACAGTGACCAGGAGCTGAAGACAACTCCACAGGAAGTGAAGACCAACAACCCCCTAGGTCCTTTGCTCACCAATTAGGAGCACTTGCTTCTCTTCCTTGGAGGCTGTCTCCTGCAGACCATGCAGAAATCTGCTGCTCACCTGGATGATCTCATCGATGTTGGAGAACAGGACATCCAGATCTCCCTGTGGCAGCTGAAAGGAACAAAGAAGTCACAGAGGTAGATGATGTCTGGTTAGGGGAACTTTATTTGCAGGCTTCAAAGAGTAGTTCCAAACATCCCATCACAGTCCCACCATTCGGGAAGAATGACAGACCCAGGGGAATGTTTGTGAGGATTTAAAATCTTACAAGTTAGGTATTTTCATTACTCTATAAAAAGGGAGGAAGACATGGATATTCACCATGGAAGGAAAAGTGAATTGGGCTTTCATCTTAAACCTGTTGCCAACTGTCATTTTTCTTCTCCCAATTTCCTTATCTGTCATCTGACAGTGGGAAACTTGGTTTCTTTCCAGCTCTGACATACTTGGCATCTACTCCCACTCCCTGAAGATGCATTCCAAACTCCACACCCTGTGAGCCAGGCTACCCCACTGTGAAAATAGAGGTAAGACGTCTATATACACACACACAGGCATGGAAGTATTGCCAGCAGCACAATCAGATGGGAAAGGTATATGCAGAATAATGTCTAGAATATGTTCTCAGTTTTGCTAAAATAAATAACAGCATATGTTTATATATTTTTGTTGCCCTTGGAGAAAAATCCTAATTCCTGAAGGGTGAAGGAGGTATTTTACCTTCTACATTATTTACTTTGGTATTTCATTCACTCAAGAATCACTCATTGAAAGTCCAGGGCTGGTGATTTAGCTCAGTGGTTCCACTGCCTGCCTCGCAAGCACAAGGTCCCAAGTTCGATCCCCGGTACAAAAAAAAAAGAAGGAAGTCCAGTGTTTGTATGTCAAGACTGGGACTATGTCAAACAGAGTCTGCCTGACTGGAACTCACATCCTTAGAATTTTATAGTGTGAGCCTTTATTTTTTCTAAAACCAGAAAAAAATATAAAAAGTGAACACTAATAAAAACGCTTGAGAGTGGTAAACTCTCACATCACCACCCCAAAAATGAAACATATAGAATGTATGTCAGTTGAAATAATCTGTTCTAAACTGGAAAAGGGCTTGGCATTAGCACACTTAATTTTGGTTGTTCCTCTCCCCATTTAGCAGATGAATACACTAACACTGTGCCATACAAGGCCCTGCTGAAGGCAGCATGACCAATAAACTGTAGTCCTGAGGGTGACATCTGGATCTGGCAGACTTCATGCTCCTTGAGCTTCCTGCCATTAAGTTTCCCCCAGGAGCAGAAGTGAAAGCTCAGAAGCAGACCCACATATGCTCCTATAAAGACAGGTTGTGGGTGGCTCCTCTCAAGTACCTGCTGGAGACGGCTCCTGACGTCTGAGGCACAGAGTCGAAGCATGTGCAAATAGGAGTCCTCGGTGTCCATGAGCTCCCTGATGGCCAGACTCTGCTGGAGCAAGGATCTGTCCTCCAGGCTCTGACCTTCGCCATCCAGACTCCCCGAGGAGGGCTCGTCTGTCCCACAATGGGCCATGTCTGCAGTTGCTGGAGAAACAAAACCATCCCGATTCACTGCCAGGGAGGTCTACGAGGAAATGTCCTTCATTTGAAGACAATAATTCCTCAATGCGCCTGAAAACATCTTTAGCTCCAAACAGAGTTGAATGGACTGTTTAGCATTTGTCAGCACCATTTGGACAGAATGAGAGGGCAAACAACAGCTCAGAACATTGCTGACATTTTAAATTCACTTCCTGGGATTCAGACAATGTGCTTTCCTGGCTTTTCTGCTATTTTCTCCCCAGCTCTGGGCCCAGATTTCTTTATCTGGTTCAGCTCAGCCCTCGAACCCTCTCTCCCAGTGGCTCCTCCCTCCCATTACCCCATGAAGATATATAACCTATCACCTGGGCTATTTCCACAGGCCCCAGGATCCTCCTTCCAAATCCAAGCCTCTCTCTCCCACTGCCACCCATACACATTCACCTTGGACTTGCTTCCAGTTTAAACTCCCTGAAACAAAGCCTGTGATCACAGCATTCCCTGCTGTAAGACTTTAATAGCTCCCTGCTGCTCAGTGGTCCATTAAACCTCATTTCCCCTCCAGCCAGAGTGCAGAGCTTTTGTCCACACCTGGAAAGTCCTTTCATGCCTCGTTACTTTTGCACCTGCTGTGCCCCTCCATGTCTCTATCCTCCAACATTCATCCTTTCCTGATCCTCCCCGTTCTCACTCTTCTAGCTGTACTTTTCTTCTCTGAAACTCTCACTATCCCTTTATTTCTAGATTTAAAAAACATAAAGTGCAGTAGTGTGAACAACATGACCTGGAAAACTTTCTTACTTCCAAATAGTTAGAAATGCCACATCAGCTATCACACACTTTCCTCTTAATGCATGGCAGAACTTGCAAGAGACTAAAGGAAATCTTGAGTACCAAACCAGGTGGAACTTGAGCCAGTTCTTCAGCAGGGAGCAGCTGAGCTCATGTAGCTATGGCCTAGAGTGAAGGGGTGGGCAGGGGTCAGAAAAAAATCCACCCGCCTTCACAGAAAGTGACAAAAATATTTCTCCTTTTTGGAAAAAACATCTCTGAAGGGGCCAGGGATTTAGCTCAGTGGTTCCGATGCCTGCCTCACAAGCGCAAGGTCCCGAGTTTGATTCCCCAGTACCCAAAACAAAACAAAACAAAAAAATCTCTGGAAATTTTAACAAGTATAAGGGTAGAAAACAGGTGACTCCTTTCCTGCTCATCATGACAGTAATGACCAGCATCCCTATAACAAAGACAAGTTAACAAAAGGGAAGCATGGGCTGGGGATTTAGCTCAGTGCCACCGCACCTGCCTCGCAAGCACAAGGTCCTGAGTTCGATCCTCGGTACCAAAAACAAACAAACGGGAAGCATAACAAATGTATTTGGTCATAGTTTTGTGGGGGGAGGGTTGTTTGCTTTTTAATGGGGATTGAACCCAGGGCCTTCACACTGAATTATATCCCCTGATCTTTATATTTTATTTTATTTCTTTATTTTGAGATAGTGTCTTTCTGAGTTATAAGTTGCCCAGGCTGGGCTTGAACTTGTGATCATCCTGCCTCAGCCCCACAGAGTGCTGGGATTACAGGCATGCACCACCACACTTGGCTAGCTGGAGCTATTTGCTCATGGTTTTATGTGACATGGGAGCCTTCAGATTAAAGACCCAGACTCAGACTGAACTATCCATTTTTTTTTTTTTTTTTTGATGTTGGGCATTGAACTCGGGACCTCGCGCTTGCGAGGCAGGCACTGGAACCACTGAGCTAAATCCCCAGCCCTTGAACTATCCATTTAAAAAAAATTTTTTTTTCTTGTACCAGGAATCAAACTCAGGACCTTGTGCTTGCCAGGCAGGCATTACACCACTGAGCTGCATCTCAGGCTCTGAACTATCCATTTTTATGCTTAGATTCAAGTAACAAGGACAGTTATGTTGAAATAGGATTAAAACAAAAGGTCTAAGCTAATGCTGCTAATAGACTGAGTGGAGCGCCTCCGTGAGGCCTGCCTGTTTAGGTCCTTCTGGGCTTCATTGTGCAGCATTCCTTCCTCCTGGGTGCGGGGCAGGACCCTTTCTGGAATGGAGGTGTTAGCACCTACTATCAAACAAGGTAGGTCAGAGAACTTCTTTGGGCCAGCTCCTTGGCAGAGAAGCAGGATCGGAAAAAGTGATTAATATTTCTAGGTTTTCTGGGTGGCTTCGAGGGAAGGGACTGTGTTTTCTGAGACCTACTCTGAGGAAGAGAAGTTCTAGTTTCTATGGTTTGTCTGAGGGGGAATAATGGGAGAGAGGAAGAAAGACAGGAAGGCAGAGAGAAATCTTGCTTCTGAGGCCTGCACTTTGGGGTACCATTCTCTGACCTCCAACATAAGCCTACTGAGTTTTAGGTTCAGATTTATACCACAGGTGTCCCAGTAGCCCAGACATGAGCCATTCACACACAAAAAATGTTAGCTTATACTCTGAGTGGCCATAGGACAAATAAAATGTCTCAAGAAAGATTATGGCTTTAACCTAGGCCACAGATAACTGTCCTGTAAGTGAGTTAAGAATACAAAATTAAAAGAACGCCACAGTGAGCAAGCATAGGCAGAAACAACAAACAACAGGATTAGACCCTAAACTATCAGATAAAAACTAAAATAAAGGGGAGAAAAGGAAAGACATTACCAAAAAACGACACATATGATTTTTACAGTGGCAAATGGAACTAATAGAAATTTAAAAATTTAGTCTTTGAAATTAAAAACAGATTTGACAGGGCCGGGGACTTAGCTCAGTGGTTTTGCCGCCTGCTGCACAAGGACCCGAGTTCAATCCCCAGTACCAAAAAAAAAAAAAAAAAAAAAAGATTTGACAGATTATGAGGACATTTAGGGGAAAAAAGGGCAGATGTCAGAAGAAATTATCCAGACTACTAAACAGAGAGAAAAGTTTGGAAAATAGTGGAGAAGATTAAAGGATATGGAAACTGATGGGAAAAACGTCAGGTAACAAATAGAAGTTCTAGATGGCAAAAATAGAGTGATAAGAGGCAAGAGTTGAAAAGATGAATAATTTGTATTAGTCAGTTTTCCAAAGGAGGAGAAGTTTAATCTGGCTCATGGATCAGGGGATTCAGTTTGTGGTGAGCAGGCTCCAATGCAGAAACAGCATGGCTGGAAGGGCATAGCAGAGGACAGCTGCTCACCTCCTGCACCCAGGAACAGAGAGAAAGGAGAAACCAAGAGGGAGATACACCCCTTTAAAGGCCCGCCTCCAAGGCCACGCCTCTTCCTAGCAGGCCCTGTCTCCTCACACCACACTTAGCTATGAACTCACCAATGAATTAATCTATGGGTGAGTATAATACCTCCATAATCCAATCAGCTTTCAGAAGCCTACCTCCAAATATATGAAATTTTGAGGGACATTTTAGATGTAAACCATAACAGAACTGCTCAGAACTTATAAAAGATAGGAATACTTAGATTTAGGAAATGTAATTCCAAAGCAGAATAAGTTTTTTTTTTAAATCACATCTAAACATGTTGAAAAGAATCTGTAGAATCCTGAAGGCCTAAAGAATTTACTTCATACACTCCAAAACAAAGAAATAACAAAGAAACAAACAACAAAATGACAACAAACAAAAGCAAAGAGGAAGATACAGAGATCTGGTGATGGAACACTGGAAGGGCCAAAAGAGTCCTAGACAGGTGAAGAGAGAATCTAGGATTGACTGCAGGCTCCAAGCAGAGGGGAGTCTGGTCTAGAGAACTCCAGGAGGTTCTAGAATGTCTTAAGCATTGATTTATTAAACTAGTACAGAATTTGGTGCTTAATTGGGGATCATTACAGAGATAATACATAGAAAACTAAGAAATCAATCAACCAACAAAAAGAAAACAATTGCTATAGCAACTGCTGTGCAGAAAAGATAAAGGGCCCTGTCTTATTTCCTGAAGAAAGAAATGCTACAACCAAGGGATCAAGAGAAACCTGAAGAGATAGGCCTTGTTGGGTTTCTCTCCTCAGTCTATGTCCATCAACCCTTTTTGTCCAGTTATACTTCCACGTGGATGCTATTGCTTCATCAAACCTAAGCAGAAAATCAAATAGCTTCCCCTATTGGAAACCCCTTTGGGTTTCCAATCTGAAGGCTTGGTGTCAGGTGAGACCATGGGTAAATACATTTGTATAGCTTTCCTCCTATGAATCTGTCTGTTGGCATTTTAGTCAGAAAACTCAAATATCAAGGCTTCAGAAAGAAAGTTTGAAACTCCCTATATGTGCTACTTTAAGATACAGGTAAATTCTGAAACAACGAGCTAAAAAAGATAGAAGCGATTGCCTGGTAATGGCTGGGGCAAAAAGGGAGGGGATGGGGGAAATGTTTGTTATTTTTCATAACAAACATTCTGGAATTATCTGTCGCAGTTTTTTCATAATAAACAGCAAGACTTATTTCTTTAAATTGTATCCTTTAATAATTAACAAGAGGGGCTGGGGATTTAGCTCAGTGGTTCCGGCGCCTGCCTCACAAGCACAAGGTCCCGAGTTCAATCCCCAGTACCAAAAAAAGAAAAGAAAAAAAATAATAATAATTAACAAGAATTAAACACTAAAAGGAAGAAAAACAATGAGAATTTTTCAATTTTGCTAGAGATTACTATTCAAAAAGAAATTATATTCCTATATATAGCAATAACATTAATAAGTATAATTTAAAGGAACATAAAAAGCATAATTATAAAAAGTTGTAATAATGTAGTAATAATAATGTCTATTCCTTAAGTATTTTAATTAAAATATGTATGAGATGCTTATGAAGAAAATTATAGTAGTTTGTATTAGAATTTAGCTATAATACATTCTAAAAATTATACTAAAATTTTATAATTTTCTTCATAAACATCTTATACTTCTTACACTTAACTAATTTCAAGTAGAGATATAACATGATCATGGAGAGGAAGACTCTGTATCAGAAAGATGAAAATTCCCCCAGACTGATTCAATATGTT